TTCGCATGAACTTGTAGAAATGTGAACAAATCGCCATGTACAAAAGGCAATACCGGAATCTTCTAAACTTAAATCTTTAGGAGAGTAGGTTCTTAAAAATTGGGTTCATTTTTTAAAGTGAGAAATTAATTTGAATTTTCTTCCGTTTGCATTTTTTTCTTATAAAACATTTTAAAAACAAAAAAACCCCCCAAAAAACGGCATATGAAAGTTTTTAAGTGTTCGTTCTGTGATTAGCTCTATTTGTAATCATATCCCTTGTTATAACATATCCATTTATATATATTTTTGGGTGAGACCCTTTTTGCTAATTATTGAATCTCAACCAGCGAATGCAAATTAGTCTTCAGCTTACTTGTTAGTGGAAATATTCTTTGTTGGCATTTCATGATCCTTAATGAAGTTTATTACCGGTCCGTTGTGAGCTAATTAAAAAGTTGTGACGTTGATTGACGCTGAATGGTGCATTTTGCAAATGAAAATAATACTCAAAGTTTACATCTAACCATTTTTGAAGCTATTGTTTTGGCTGTTTTAACTCAGCATCTGCTCATCAATAAAGATGAAACAAAATTTGTTCACCGGTTTGCGTTTATTTTAGCCAGTTTGCTAGGCAAATAAAACTTTTCACCCATCTAGTTAAAAATCAATAAACAATGCGGGTATTTTAACATATTTTCAAAATATTATGCAATGTAAATTGGTAAATACAAAAACAAAGATAGAGTCGAAAACTTTGAAATAAAAAGCAAAAAAAAGGAAATTATTGTAAAATAAACAAAACCAGACAACAATCAACTTTTTCTCACAGACTGCGCACTCGGTGCTTTTCCCTTGTTTTCCAGTTTTCCCAACACACCTGTTACCACAACACCAACAATACAACACCTTGCCTCAAGTTTTTCGTTTGCACTGCAGTTTTTCCGAGCTTCGTGGTTTATTTGCTTGTCAATGCAAAATGGTAAAAAGGGAAAAACAAAGCAAGGCTGTACTTGATAATGTTCGCTGGGATTGTATAATGAAATCAAACTGCAAAATAATTTGCATTTTATATAATAAAGTTTTTGTGTTCGTCTCAAAATGGGAGAAAGATGTGAAAGTTGGGGTATGAGTTGCGCTCGTTTTTACTTCGATAGCTTTTGGCTTATCCGTATATATTTTGAATATTTTTTAGCTGGTTTTACAAATAACAACCATTTGTTACACACTTTCAGCTTGCATAATAAAGTTATTGAGCTTTCAGTTGTTGTATATTTGCTCTAAAAAAGGTAAAGCACATGTTAAGCTTGTTTGCTTTTGATTAAGTTTTATATTACATCAAAATATGATTTTAGGATATTACTTAACCATACGAGAATATATTTCAAAGCTCATATATTTGCATTACCCTATATACTGGTTAAAAATTATGTAAATGTTATCGTTGGTAAAAACAAATATCATCATTTATCTTAATTAAAAATGGAGCATTGGGAAAAACAACTTTTTTAAAAGTTGATAACCTTCTTAATGTTAATTTGCCACTGACAGACTGAGCATGCCAATTTAGTTTGAAGATAAGCCACTTAAACTTGACATGAGCGAAACACTGACATAACAAGAAGATGGCTTGCATGTCCTTTCACATGAGCAGCTCATAAAAATGCGATGCGAGCTGACAACATTTTGTGCTTTATGTGTGAGCCGAGCACCTCCTAATCGCATTCCACCCATCTCACCTGGTTCGGGTATCCTGCCCGCAGCGGTACCAGAGTCCTTCCCCCCGCCCCACTTTGCCACTCAACATCCAGTCCGAACGAGCGAGAGTTTGTATGATATATGGTATGTGTGACTTGAGGGGACTCCCCCTTTTCGTCGCTTAACTGGGGGATGTGTTAATTACAGAAAAATTGTGAGAATTTGTATTATTTACTTTGCTATCTACACTGAAGCTGAGCTTTTCTTTGTTCGGCTCTTGTTGCGTGTCTCCTGTGTAATTGCAGGTGTGTCTGTTAAGGACGTTGTCAGGGAAATCTCTGTCGCTCAACGTTTTTTTTTAGGACTAGCTTTTTAGTGAGTGAGCTGACTGATGCGTATAAATAAATAGAATTATATGTTTTAATATTTAATTTTAAAAATTGGATGATGTCTTAGTGTGCTAAGGTGGCATCTGTTGCTTTTCTCCCTAAAATATTTTAAAATGTAGCATAACTAATTATTAAGTCTTACACGTTCTTTTTATTATTTTGTTACAATTTAGATATTTGTAGTTTCAATTTTGTTTGTTCACTCAAAACTATATTTAATTTAAAGTTTTACAAAAATATGGAAAACAAGTTATTTCATCACCGTAAATAAATAGTGACTTAAAAGTTATTTTAGCCTTTTACAAAGTCGCTTAAAACGAATAGATATAACAATTATAATAAAAATAATTTTCTTTGGCTTGAAAAATGTATTGTGTGTAAGTGGAGTAAACTTAAATGATTCAAGCTAATCATAATATTCATATCACGTTAGGAATAGGATTTTTAAAAATCGTTTTCACAGCATTTAGCAATTATGTCCCCTTCTCAATAACCTGCTTGAATCAAGGTTTTCTATCATCCGTTTTGGCCCTTCGGCATTCTTCCTTGGCATTCCATTTTAATTGTCTTTTGCGATTTGGCCAAGGCTTGTGTCGTATGTGTGTGATTGTTTGCGGCATTGTCCTTCCGATTCTTGTGCTTGGTACTTGGTCCTTGGCTCTGTTGTTATTGCATTCCTTTGCTTTGGTTTTTCGCAGCGCGTAAATAAATTTCATATCATGACATTTATTACTGACCCTTAAGCCCCCACCGCCACCCAATCCGCAATCCAAAGCCCACAAGCCCGATACATGTGGGCCTGGAGATTACCAACAGTTTTCCCGCGCCCTCTATTTTCCCATTTCCCCGCAGTTTTCCCCATTCCCAACGGTTTCCCAATGGCTTTTTGCACAGCCGCAGCGGTTACAATTTTCATTTAAGATTTGTTTTCGCCTTTTTTAGTTTTTTTTGTATGTGTTTTATTTTTGTCAGTTCCTCTTTGGCCTCACACACACACACACTCGTACATTTGATTTATTTTAGCACTCAGGGGGCGGGGCAGTGGGCGGAGGGCAGGTTAAAGGGCGAACAATGACGAGAAATGCAAAACAAATGCAAAGGAAATGAACGAGGCCTGAAATGAATGCGCAATGAATGGCCCAAACGAATGAAAAGTGTGTGCAGATGAAGACGAAGATTAAATGTAAGTGGACGTCGCACAGAAACAATTGTAGTTAATTTACGCGTAGAGAGAAATGCATAACAAATTAATGAGAATTCCAGCGTAAATAAAAGCACTGCGAGAATACAATAATATAATCTTTGATTTTGTGTAAATAAATTTAGATCACAGGTTAACACAATCATTTAGACTTGTCACTAGGACATATAAATAAGTTGTAGCCAATTTATAGCGCAATAATAAAAATAATATTTATTATAAAAAAAATTATTTCATAACGATTGAGAAATAAATTAAAAGTCAAAGTTAGTTAAAACATTTATATTATTAAAATTACTGATGATTATGACAACTTTTATTAAAAACTTTAATGTAATAAGTAAGCCGATCGTTTTGTCCTAAATCTAATGATCAACATGTATGTTAATTAAATCAGACTTAAGTTTTCAGTGCAAGGAAAGAACTCAAGACTCGGTCCTCGCCCCAAGGCTTTGGACCTCCTTTGTCCTTTCGAGTATCCTCTCTTTCAAAGTTTACTTGACTGTGAAATAAGCGGACAACGAGAGATCTCCAGCCTGAGAGGCAGAAGGCAGTGAAACAAAAAAAAAGAACGCATTGTCTTTGTCTTTTGCATAATTTATTTATATTTTCATTTTCATCGGGCGTAATTCGCGTTGTTAAAATAAAGGAGCAGGCAGTGGGCAGCAGGCAGATGCCTACATTTCCGGCTCAGCAAATAATTACAAGCTTAATAACAAATTTAATATTGCTCGGCCTCGAAGGCCGGTCATTTTATTTATTGTTTACCCTTTGTGCCTCCTTTATCCTTGCACGTTTCCGTGTGTGGGGTTCCACCTTTAACTGTTTATATTCGCACACGCTCCTTGCCTTTTAATGAGGCAACAACAATGAGCATGTCCTTCGTCCTGCGACCCTTTTATTTGCCGTCCATTCGTTTACAGTCGCCGTCATTGAAGTTCCAGCACAATACACAGACACACACACACACACACACACACACACACACAAAAATCGTCCTTTTGGCCTTACTTACACTTGTCAACCCCCAAACTCCTGCAGTGTTACATGCTGTTTGTCGCTCTTTAAGTCGTCTGAAGAGCTGTTGGCCTTGCAATTAGTTGAGGAGCCATGTCAGGCTTTCTTCTGTTTGTTCCGCTGGCTGTAGCGCCAATTTTGATGGCAATGTTTCGCCTTCGGGCCACTTCAGAGCTGCTCACTTGAAGAAGTTTCCGGAGAGCGTTACTTAGATGCTCCTACTAATTGCCAAGTCAAGTTCTTGGCCAGAGGTACTCAAAAACAAGAAACAATTGTGTTGGCTATGTAGTCATAGAAGGTGTGCAAGGTATGTTTTTTAAAGCTCTTAATTAAAGTTCTTCTGCTTTCCTTTATGGCGAAGATCGAAAAAAAGTAAAAACTGGGCTCTTTCTCTCTTATCGTTTATTGTCTTGTTCTTCGATTTAATATCCAATCTTCTTTGGATATGGTTTGTGCGAATCAATTTAAGCTGCTCTGCTTTTTCAAATAATATTATTTGGTTTTATTTACCAACGCTACTTATCCTTTATGCATTAACAACCATTGAAAGACGGACATTGCGCATACGCCGTGTGCACGTGGCCTCACGTCAATAATAAACAGTTAATTTCCTTCTTGAAGGAAACCGTTATTATTATTAAGGAATGCAAAAAGCAATAATAATATCTCTCTTATTTATAAAATCTTTTTAAAAATGAATCATGATAGCTGTGATTGAAAACTCTGTCTGCGAAAACACTTATGAATGATTTAACTAGGAAATCCGAAATTTTAAAGAGTTAATTTAAAAACCCAACAAATTTGAGTGTACATTTTCGGAGAATGGGTAGTAAATAACATGCAGTTAAAGTGGCAATCTCTTTAATTATGTAACTGCTTATTTAAGATGCCGAAGGAAAAAAGGAATTGCGACTGGATCCGCCGCTCTTTGTGACCTGCGACCTGGATCAGTTTCGGGATCCGAATAAGAAACGTGCCGCCAACGATGCCTGCGAGGAGCTGGACAAGCTGGATGCCCAGGACGAGATCAGTGTATCCAGTATAATCTCGGCCCTTTTGCATCCGATCGAGCCCTCGGATGATCAGTACAAGGTGTGCGACTGGGGCATCAATCCCAAGCAGTTCCTGCCCACCAAACAGGCGGTCATCTTCAAGGAGCAGTTGTTCGTCTCCAAGTTGCGCAACACCAACTGCAAGTTGAACGAGAACCTGAAGATCTTCTTCGAGCGCGAACTGGAGCAAATCGGGAGATTCTGCTTAAATGTGGAGGAGGCCTACGATGGCTATATGATCTTCAGCAGCAGCAAAATGAAGAAGGGCAAGGGCCTGGTGGAATGTGGCCACCAGCTGAAGGGCAAGTACGATGACAAGTTTCTGCTCATTTGCGAGAAGAGGTCGGAGTTCGATCGAATCGATAATACGCGTGTGGAGAAGACCCTGGAGCTGCGAAATCATGCGGATTTGATGCTCACCGCCATTCGCGAGACGAAGATCAATGAGGAAGTGCAACGTTTCAAAGCACGCATCGATATCAAGGATCGCGATCACGTGTTCGTCCTGGATGGTGGTATTATGCTGCTGATGCGCCACCTGGTCTGCAACAACTTTGTGGGCAACTTCGAGTATTACACAATGAACCTGTATGGCCGAGTGCTGCGATGCAATCTGGTGGTTTCCAAGGAGCGCAAGATAGTGCGCATTTTCTATCGCACCTATAAGAACGTCGTGCATATCTTCACACAGCAGTGTTTCAACGATGAACTGCAGGATGTGGCGGAGATCTTCATGTCTCCGGAGGGTAGGATCGTCCTGCATTATTGGCGAGGCTACAACTATCTCCTACATGCCGCATGTATGCCTCCAAAAAGGAAGGAGCCCATCCTGCCCAAAATGGAACTGATGTGGCGCCAAAATGAACAGCTCTCTCGGAAGTTTCGGGAGCTCAAGGCCCTCAACTATGAGAACGCCACCAAATATCTGAGCAGCAACTCCCAACTAGCCGACTTTATGCAGGACTACGTACTCAATCTACTGCGATATAAGCCCACCAATGTCCTCGAGTTCTCCATCATGTTCTTTCAAAATATGTCGAGAGATTAGTCTTCTCTCCACTGGGTTTTTTCTAAATTGATAGTGTTTAGTGGAGATTTAAGACAAGTTATACAAAAATCCAAAGCTCTTTTCATTAGTTATTTCATTTATTGTAATTTTGTTATAGTTTGAAAATAAAGTTAAAATTTTAAAATTTATCTTTGAATTTTTAAAAAACTTTAAAAAAAGGTAATGGTATACCTTTATATAAAGAATTCTCATATTAAAAATAGATTCGGTAATTCTAAATACGAGAAGGGAATGGGTTTTACCCATTATCCATTATTAACAATTATTCAAAAAAGATACATAAATAAAAATATAATCTTAACTGGCCATTATAAAATGGCCAATGTATATCAATACAATATAGTAACCGTTGCCATCAAGCCGAACTCAGCAATGAGGCAACCCAGCAACCCATTTATTTGTTTGCGACCTTCAAACAATCGTTCGAAATTTTCAGTTTTAGTCTGTCCCCAATAGCAAACGAAATACATTCATAGTTTCTTTACACTCCATTGGATTTTTGTTAATTTTACAAGTTTGTTAAAAGATGAATTGCATGGAGAAGAAGTCGCCGGAGGCTATTGCCGAGTGCAAGGGCAGGATCATACAGTTGAATCCGGGTTCGTCGTGTCCTGCCCCGCTCATCTGTCCCCTGCCCGAGGAACCTCCCTCCCACCGCCTGAGGAAACCGCCGCAGCCCGCCCTCGTGGGCTTGACCCCTCACCCCGATGAGGCCGCCCAGCAGCACCTGCTGCAGAACATCACTGGTCCCGCCCAGGAACATCAGAAGCTGCAGGTCGACCTTCAGGCGGGAGTTGACCAGCAGCAGATGCACATGGCCGACATTCGGGACGAACAATTCAAGCAGTCACAGAGGCCCCAAAGGATGGAGGAGATGCAATTTGCGGTGAGTTCCGATGGGAAACTTATTTCAAAAATATATATAGGTATCAAGAAGATAAGACAGTTGAAAGCCACAGAGAATTCCTTAGACACTTTCAGGGGGGATATAAAAAATATAAAAATACCAATATTTTTATAGTTCGAAAGTTAAAAAGATTCGTTAGAAAAGTTAATCTTATTTTTTTCGTTAGAAAAGTTAATCTTATTTTTTTCAATGCATTCTCTTAAATGCTTTTTAAGTGATTCCAAGGTCCAAGTGAATTTTGTGTTGGAATTGGCTTATGGTTTAGTCTTAAAAACCTTTTTGGGAATGTATCAGTAAGGATGATTCCTTTACAAGCCCCTTTTAAAATACCTTAACTGCCGTAAAGACTCCTATTTTAACTATTACTGACTTTTACAGCGCACAATGGACCCTGAAGCGGATGATCTCCGAAATCCGCCGTGCTATCTGCCTCAACAGGGCGATGAACTGCCGCACAAGGACCAGCTAATGCCGATGGGTCCTATTGGACCCTGGGCCTCCGGAAAGGTGGATTGGAGTCCCATGGCGGGCATTACGGGAACAAGGCCTGTCGTGGACCGCTACTCCATAACCCGATACAGTCCGAATGAGTGGCGCACTAGGAACCATGAGACGGTGCAGGCCGTCAACGGAAGTCTGGCCAGGGAGGATAAGTAGGTTTATATATATTTTTACAGCATTCAAAAAGTCTTTAAACCTTAAAATCCCTTTTATAGAAACCGCTTTAGCTCTACCACTGAGTTCCTGAGACTCTCTGCCCTGGTGGCGAAGTCGCAAAATGAGACTACCGACAAACTGAGGACCCGATCGCAACTAATTGGTAAATGGAAGAACACCCTGGAGAACGCGATCAAGGCGATGGCCGATGAGATCTCCACAATGGAGGTGGAGCGCATCAAGTTGCGCAAATCGATGGTGGTTCTTGGTGTTCCCGAGTCCATTGCAAAGGAGTGCATTGAGAAGAGGGCCACACGGCCGGATACCGAACTGGTTCGCGACCAGGTGGAGGAGGAGCTGGTCAACGAGCTGGCCCTGATTGCCGAGATTCGCCGGCTATTGATGAAGACGCTGGACGACTTCAATACGCAGCAGGTGGAGAATCGCACGGCCAGGCAGCGATTGGAATACGACTGGAGTGACAAGAAGGAGGCCTACGAAATCGATACCCTGAACACGGGCCTGAACAACAGCTCCAGGACGATCATGTTCCGACCGGGAGCAGTGCGTCAGCCACCGGAACAGGCATCCGAGAAGTACTGGGAGCACTTCAGCATGGAAACGCTGGACGAGTGCGAAAAGTGTCGCCTGAAGTCGGTGACTTTGCGGAATACCCTGAATTCGACGCTGATGAATGCGGCCAGGGATATTCGCACGCAGGCCGATGTGGTGGAGAAGGCACTGACCTCCAGGATCAATTGCACCCAGGAGGCAGTGCAGCGCTTCGAGAACGACCTCAAGAGTATCCTGCAGGGCTTGGCTGATGTGGAGAACCGCATCGAGCAGATGAAGCGCCGCATCGCCTCCTTCGATGCCTCCATGAAGGTGGCCCAGACGCGCATGGACAACCGCAGCTATCGGCCCAATGTGGAGAACTGCCGGGATCTCGCCCAGCAGGAGCTCATCGATGGCGTGCACACCATCCAGAGCAGTGTGTCGGCCCTGCTCCACGAACTGGAGGAGGCGGAGATGGTCAAGACGGACCTGGTCAATTCCCGTGCTCGGCTGGAACGCGAGATTATGCTAAAACGGCGCAGCCTGTTCATCGATCGGGAGCGTTGCATGTTGATGCGATCGCATTATCCTTCGGCGAATACCCTAAGTGGATCAGCCACATCGTAGAAAGGGGTTACCCTATACGAGGGTATCTAAATTATTGAGTTTTACCACTTTGAGCGGGGTCCAAATTGGCAAGTGTTTATTTAGAACTAGGTGGGGTTTACTAACTAGTATAATAACGGTCTGGCTGAAGGGGTGTTGTAAATTAACAAGTTATGAATAAATGTAGTCCTGTTGAGTTAACCAACAATGATTACTTTTATTGATTTGACCTCTTAACTACGTAGTTCCATACACTCAAAAGTATTATTATATCATTACCTCTAAATAAATTTCCCACTGAAGTAAAATAATATATAATTTCTATCTGCAGAACTCGTACTCATTTAACTATACAGGTATTAAAATGATTTTAATCCTATTTTGAGGGTCGTTTATTCTTTATCTATTATAAAATATCTTATGAACATACATAACTTCGGTATTCTTATTCTTGTTTAACTTCACCCATTTATTTTCAGCGTTTCGAGTGCCTAAAGACTTTTCAAAACAACGCCATTTAAGCATCTAATTTGAGGATTTCCGTATTAGCCCCAGAGCTCTTAAGTTCTTTTTAATAAATGCAATAAAATGCCATTAGAGGGCAATCAGACACGTCTGGAAATCCATATAACTGAAAGAAATATGTTGCCAACTCCGAAGCGGGCCACTCACACACGTGTTGGCCCAAGTACTTACCGAAACACGTTCAACAGCTAGAACAACACGTACTCAATTTAGAGATACACGCCCGGGAAGAGGAAGTCGGGGTAGCGGGCTGGTATTGATATTGATACGGAGGTAGTTGAACATTCGTTAATGTTTGCCTTCCTCGGAGCAGCAAATATAGGGACAGTTTGGCCCGATCCCCTTGCTCGGGGTCTGGATATTCAGAATACATGTGGGACTCTGCTGGGAAGCCAATAAATTACAAAGCGAATGGGGTGGATACCGTGTTGGAATTTCCAATTGAAAATGGAAAACGTTATGGCTCATTGGGGCTATTTTCCGTGTGCCATTGTAGTTGCCATATTTGTCTATTATTTCCAACGGCCACAGCGATGCACTGTCGTACACTCGAAAAAAACACTCCAAAAGAATGCGACATGTCTCCTGTCTGTCTTGGATTGCGTGTGTTTCTGGTCTTGTCTCTGGTATTTTCCTGCCTTCCGCTTACGTGCAAAACACTCGTCGGCCAAGATTTATTGCCAGGGAACGTGTTGTTTCTCATGTTGTCCATAGCTGCCACTGGCAAAGGGTTGATGGGGGAAAACATTTCCAGATGGATTCCCAATAAGAACTACATATTTTTTCGAATGCCAAGGTCAAGGACAGTGCTGGACAGTCGGGCAATGATGGATCGATAATTGGCTTGGCTTAGGTTACGTAATAATTTTTGAGCACATATGCAATCTAAGTAAGCCAAACAAACTCCCGAATATTAATAACATTAAGCAACAGCACAATTATATTTTTATTATATTTAATTTAAAACACGCTACACTTTGTAATTTATGTATTATAAAATCCTTTTTATCTCTTAAGCTAAAATATCCCATTTATATTTCTGATAATATTGCAAATTTAAGACATTTGATTTTTAAACACTTATGTATTTCTCTAAGGCTTTCTCTAATGTTCTGGGGGAGCTAAAAATGATTACATATTTGATGTCTTCTGCACAGTGTGTACATGTTTTTCCCTAGACTAACTCAAAACTACTGCTGTGTTTCACGACAAGTAATTTGAACTTAAATTTCCAACGAATCTGAATTTCCAACAAGTCCATTACCACAAAGCTAGTCTCTGGGGCATCAAACAGCCATTACTCAAATTTTTCACTCTCCTTCAGTCCTGGGCTGTCTTAAAAAGGAAATATCGTTTTTCTTATGTTTGCTGTATGCTGTTAATATTTCGTAATGCCGGTAAAAATCACAGCGTGTGGTTATCGCAGTCAACTAAAAAAAAGAGGCAAGTAAAAGAAAACATTGCATACATTTTGGCGCTGGAGCTGGCTCGCAAAAATGGGCGACTGTTTTTATCCTGGCACCATGTGGCTAAGAAAAAATCTGTTGCATACCGTTTGCGGTGAAACGCAAAAAATGTTATATTTCTGCCGTCCCGCTGGGAAACTGTGCAAAAGAAATCCGAAAATGTCAAAAAAAAAAAACAAAAATTGGGAAAATTGCAGCTTTAAAAAAATGTTTGATGTCCGTTTGAATTTTTGTGTGTGTGTTTTTATGTGGTTCACGGCTTTATTTCACGGGCCGTTTAAAGTTATATGCCTGCTACTCGAGGTAAACTTTTCGTGAAACTATTTCTCAGTTGGAGATGTAAAGTTGAATGCCACACCTTCGACCCTGGGAGGCCATAATTTAACTTCAACGCAGCAAGACATGCAATTTAATTTTAACAAAACCTGACATTATCACACCAGCCAACAACGGGTCCCGGCTCCACACACACACACACATACATACAGTTGGGACAGAAGGAGTCGAGCGGTGTTGGCAACACAAAGTTAGTAACATAATAAGTAGCAATTTTCGGTTTCCGCTTTCCGGGCCAAGCGGCAGCAGCGTCAGTGGCTGCAACCTACCATAAAAATACATAAAATGGCTCTAGCTAAAAGAAAAACCCAGAGAGCAGAGCGAACAACCCATCGTACCCATACCCCATACCCATTCCAGCATCAGCATCCCAGATTCAGGGCAAAGAGCCAGGGAATGGGAATGCCAGCCGGAATCGGAGGGTCCGGAATCGGGATCGGGCGGGCCCGACTTTGGCTGCCAAGAAAGAATACTAACTGCATGCGGAGTAAATTGGTATTTTATAGTTGCAGCCTGTAACTGCTGGCTGAGCTGCACACAGGTGCCAGCAGCTGCTGTTCGCTGAAACTGAGATGTAGACGCCAACCTTGGCTCGAGATTCTGGGAAACGCTTTCGCGATGTTGCTTTCTTTGAAAGGGAAAAATCTTGATTTATTTCTAAATTAATTCGGAAGAATTCTATAAATGGAAAGACCAATACATTTCTGGGGTTATAGTTCTGTTTTGAAAATGCTTGATTATATATATTTTCATTTAATAAAAAGTACAAATACATCATGCATTTTTAATTAAACAATGGACCTTGTTATAAAAATAATGAAATAATATAATAGAATAGAGCAGTATCTATAGTTCTAATCGTATTAAAATAAATATTATTATTTGTACCATATCTTAAATTTTAATATTTTGGTTGTTACTTTAACACATTTTATAATGTCAATAAATAAATTAAAGCTTGAAATATCCCATTCAAATTTATAGTGCTTTTTTATTATAATTAAGTCCTGCTTTAATTTTGATTTAATTTTAAACTTAGCATTCTGGAAGGGTGCATGAAGGAGTCCCTTCGAGAATCCTTTTCCGAGAACACCAGCCTTGGATAATCCAGGGAAATGAAATGCCGCCGACTTCGCAAAGGCAGCTAAATTAGTTGCCGGCCACCTTCCGCATTCATGCCAAAGTCACTCAAAGCGACGACATCGGCGACAACGACAAGGACGACGACGATGATGATGATGGTGGGGTGGTGGGTTAAGGGTTAACGGTGGAGGGTGGAAATGGGGGCGGGGCTGTGGGCGGTGCAGAACAACAAAGGTTGCCGGGGCTCGTTAGCATTTTACAACACTGGCATCGGCTGCAGCACGTAGCTCCTAAGATGATTTGTGACCAGCTGCAACTTTTTGTTGCCGCCTCCGGCAGCCATTTTTGATATTATTTCAGAGCTGCCTCGGCACTTCCGCTTCCGTCCTGCCTGCGCTGCATGTAAATGGGGTTCCCATTCCCCCCATTATTTTTTTTTTGTGGTACGATCGCTTATCGGGCGCAGCTGGAGGGGGGTTTTTGGGTTCAAAAGTGCAGCACTGCAATGGTGCGTGTGCGAGGGAGCGAATTGAAGTTAATGTGGGCGACTGCTGATTTTATCTGCTGCTGTTGACTTGTTGACTTTGCGGGTTCACTGTTGCAATGTTTATTACTTCATTATGCTAATAAAATATATTATTTATACCGTTTGCCGGGGTACATCTTTGGTTTAGCACCCACAAGATACGTCGAGTTTTTAGTTAAGGGTTTCCATGCTTTTTAATTAAAATGGAATTTGTTATAAGAGGAAAAATGACTAATTTAAACCGGCTTAAAATACTTGAATATGAATTATAGTTTAAATCATTTAGTTAAATTCACTTAAGCTCTTTGGCCAGGACGTAAACAAAAGAAATAACTTTATCAAAAGTCTTATTTTTTTGCTGGTTGTATATAAATTACAAGAACAAGGGGTTAAATAAAAAAAAATGTTTAACATCGTCACTTTATAAAGCTGTTTTGTTGTTAATAGTCTTCTTATTTCTAATTTCGCCTCAAGAAAAAGTTGTTTCTTTTAATAACCAAATACAACTATGGCTCTTAAAGCGGTTAGATCAATGTCAATATTACACTTCTAATGATGAAAGGATTAATATTATATATGAGTTAGTTTACGACTGCTCAGTGCAGATATGATAGCGATTCGCTGGAGCAGTGCCGCAGTCATTTGATGCATTTCACAGCAGTGGCCGGCAACATCACCTGCACATGCCCCACCTGCCCCACAAACAAGCCGATTAGCATACGTTTAGCCCGCAAGTTGGCAAACGGAGAGCCTCACATTCCCATTCCCATTTCCCAATCCCCATCCCAGTTCAGTTTGGGTGGGAAAGGGGATAGCGGGCCGGAAATCAGTAGATCGTGTCAAAAGCATCAACCGAGGAGCCAAGGGGAACCACAAGCTGCGGACCCGGCCCAAAGCTCAAACCCCAAGCCCCAAATGCGCCGTTCTGTGTCCGGTTTGCAGGCCCGGAACGCCTGGCCACCGAGCGCTAATGCGGCGTGAATATGCAGGGAACGATGGTCGATGGGCGATGGTCGATGGACGTGGCGATGTCAGCTGGGGCCAGCACGTTATCACCGTCAATGCACGATTTTTTGGCCGCTGTCAGGCCCAAATGTTTGCTGACCATCCCCGGCACCCCCGGCACCCCATCATCCCAGAACCCCAGCTAATGTGCGGTTTGGCGGTCGCCGGGAGATTAGCCCCGCCCTCGGTCACCCATTTTTCCCAGCACTCTCGCACTCTCACCTTTTCACCATGTTGACGTTACCTGAAAAATCAAAATTCCAAATTCCAGCACGAGCAGATTGTCGGGCATTTTATTACGAGGAATTTGTTGACTCTCCACCTCTAGAAATGATTGAATGACATGCCCGAGAAGAAAAAGACCGAGAAAAAAGGAAAGACAGACCCAGATTCAGACACGTTTTACACACTTAATATATGCAGTGAAATGAGGTGGTTTTTTAATACAACGAAAGGCTGAAATTCTCCGAAAATGACTCCTGAATGTCCTTCACAGACGTCTGAGCAAATGGCAAAAGGGGAATGCCATTCAAATGCAAAGCATATTTTCGACAGAAGCACTTTTTTAGCACTTTGTTTGCATAAATCTTAGGAGAATCTTTTTCGCTTACAGTGTATACGACAGACTACACGATTTAATTAAAATCACCAAAAGATAATATAGTTACTTTAGTTTAACCCTAGATCATTAAGTGGAAAATTGATTGGTATTCTGGGAATCATTATTGTGGCTGACAAATAAAACGTATTTTTTAATGAATTTGTAACAAATGTTATGAGCTTTAAGAACTTTTGGAAAGGTTTTAATTTGAAATAAAAGTATAAAAATCTAACATTTATTTTATTTTATTTATTTACAAATTTTCATGACTGTTAAAAATCATACTGTTGTGAGGGTTTAAGGCAGCGTTTTACTAATTAAGCATTACGATTTAGTTGTTCTTAGAAGTATTCTTTACTAAAACCTCCAACATATCATCCGTGTGTGTACCATAAGTTCCGCACGTGTCTACATATAACACTCCAGCTCGAATTCCCTCAACTTTTCCGCCAAACTTCTCATTTACAATCTCTGCCGGCAAAGTGTGTAAAAAAGAGAAGCCTCGAAAGTTAAAACTCTGAATCAGATGTCATGGCTCGACTTTTGAGCCGGCAGAAAAAACTTGTTCTTCTGTCGCGTCCCAAAAATCCAACTCCTGCGAATTCCTTGTTTGCGCATCCGTATGTGTGCCCCGACATGCGACTGTGTGGGTGTTTGTTTGCCTGTGTGTTTGGGTGTGAGCATTGAGCTGTTTGTCTTTTAATTGTTTGCACTTAAGTCGTTTGTTTGTTTGTTCGTCTGCGTTTGTCTGCCTGGCAGGTTATGACTTTTGTGAGATAAGTCGTTAGGAGAGCGCTCAAGCAAATTACAGCCACAAAGTATGGCACTTCTTTCCGCCGACTTAATGCGCTTTTGAGTTGGGGCATCTATAAAAAGATGCATTCGCAGGATCGGTGCAGCCATAACTATTTTTATACCGGGAATAAATCTATCCAACTCTGAAGAAAGCATTTACTATTTTGTAAAATTTTTTATTGGTTTTTTTGGCAATATATTGCCAAATTATTAAGATTTCTTTAATTAACGTTAGAACTAATTATGCAAATTATTTCAATATGATAAACTATTAGCATAAACAAAAAAACATTTACTATTTTGCAAAATTTTTAAAGGAAACAATGTTTACTCATTTACTTTAAATGATTTGTACAAATTGTTTCAATCTTTCAAGTGTTTTTGTTGTTCATTAATTGCTTTCCCTGATTCGGCAATTTCGACATAAGTTTTGAGCAACTGGAAGCTGAGACGAAACCATCGTTAAAGTATGAAAATATACGTTCGATTTGCAGAGAGTCAAATATCCATACGGAATAGCTGCAATCAAATGCAATGCCAATTGACTTATCGGTGCGGTCACTCCATCAGCGTTTGCTCTTCTCCCAGTCTGTTTGGATACCCGGAGAATGGACCGCTTTCAAAAACCCCCAGTATGCAATAACTAAATGTTTGCCAGGACAAACAACAAGCGGAGCCCGGACGAATGCAATCCGAATCCTTAACCTTAACACTTGGCTAAATTGATACACACATCAAAGTTGCGTTGCAATAGCCTCAAATCTTTCCGTAAATCAAGCAAAATGCAAATTTCACTAAAAGCTGAGGACGAAACCGAAGCGAAGGAAAGCGTAGACCACAAAAAATGCAAAAGCGAATGGCGAAAGGAAAATGTTGTCCAGTTGGAGTTTGGTAGCAGAAAGTTTTTCGGGGGCCAAAATGGCTGCCAGGTAAACGGAGAACGCTGAGGCGAAAGGGAAAACCTCACCACCACCCACCTCCCCCAACAGAAAGCCTTATTTATCACACGTATAGCACCGTTCTCGATGCTCACCCTTCCATTACCAGATTCGGTTTCTGAAATCGCATACGAATGTTGGCCAATTGGATTTGGTTAGCCCAAGAGTTCGCCAAATGTCTGTGTGTGTGTTTGAATGGACCTTATCCAGATTCGGGTTCATCCGATATACATCTCTTTTTCACTATTCCAGTACACTGTAAGAATTCAAGGATACACGTTTATTAACTTGGTCCTTGGGATCAACGCAAAAACTCACTGGAGAAGCGCTTGGATACATTAATAACTTGAAAATGCTTTAGTAATTTTAATTAATATTCTCAACAAACAAATATAAAGAAGTTTCAAAGTTAAGAACTGATTGTTGGTCGCAGTATTGAGAAATACAAATAAACAATACTTTGTAATTACATTTTCACAAGTAGGGTTATCATCTTGACTTACTGAAAGTATTAATTTCCACATAAATAAACACTGATTAAATTCAAAGAATTCAGTAATGGCTACTTTATTTTTTATTTTCTTGAGTAAAACTGATAAGGCTGGCGGGTCTGTTATTCAGAACGTATAAATATAAACAGAGTGGCTGCTGAAGTCACTGAGTTTTCCAGACTTTCTCATCGAAGCACAGATGTCGTCCATATACCTACTTGCAGTTCTGGTCTTAGGCTGTGTTTTCCTGGGAATGGCCAATGGCCAGAAATACCAGTACCAGCAATACCCCTACAACTATCCGCAATACCAGTACACGCAACAACGACCAGTGCAAAATAGAAGCGTAAGAATGATTCTTAAAATTATTATTTAAATCTAACTTCATTAAGTTATCTAGCCGTATGGAGTTCGAACTCTGGGTAATGTTCAGGGCTCGCAGGACGGATTTCCCCCTGTGCTCGGACCACCTCCCGGTGCAGGACTTCCACCGGTGCTTGGACCTCCTCCTGGACTCCCAACGTTAGGTGGACCACTAGGTTTTGGTCCACCTCCTCCATCGAATGGCTGTAACGCCTGCGGGGGGGCAAATGTTCTGGCCGGCACTAAAAAAGACAGATTTGGTTAAAAATTAATTATTATTTTCATAAAATCTTATCTGCATCATAGTATAAAGCATTTATGTGCTTCCTATTTAATAAGAACAAATGATAAATAATCAATGATAAAGTGTGAAATGTTTTTTAGAAAATATATAAAATTACATTCAAATATTAACCTTTCAATATAATATTTTAAAAATAAAATAATTTTAAATTTAAATAAATTTTAACAATAACATTTTACGACATTTATTTTGTTAAGTGTCTGCCGGGTTTCCTGTTGTTGATGTAGCCCAAAACTTCACGCCTGCCGCAAAATGGTAACGAAGAATTTCCTCGACGCCTTCCGATCAAGTTTTCCTTTTGAGCGTGGGATTCGCCATTTGATTTGTGGAAAAGAGGGCATCAAGTTGATTAAAACCAAGGCGAGCGACAGCAATCGGAAAATGACATTTTGCCTTACACTCGCTTGCATAATGCAATTTCCGCAGCAATTAAACTGAAATTTATTAATGCCAGCCGAAGTTGGAGTCGAACAACAACTTCGGGCCATTTTTGGGCCTTATTTAATTAAACCGGGAAGCGGGCATGTTTTATTTCAATTAGTAGCTGGGGCAAGTGGAAGTTGCAATGCACAAAAACCTGTGCAAAATAATTAACTGCATGCAACAATTTTCCCAGCCACTCCTAACTGTCGAGTTCGTTGCGATATTGAACCGAATTCGTTGGGTTGGATCCCTTGCATGTACGAAAATGGAAATCTGCATTTAATTTATTGATGCAACAGCAACGGCGAGCGAGCGAATGGAAACTGAAACTCCGGCTGAGGATTCCGCCGCCTAAATGTATGCAGCGTAAAATTGTTAAATGCGCGCTTAATCTGCATATAGGCGTGGATGCCGCGCCACGCCCATCCACCACCTACCGCCCACCTACAGCACATCGCCCATCGCATGTCGTTGGCACCGAAATTGTTTCATTTCCCCATTAAAATGTACGGGCGAAAATGTTAAACACTTTATTGGCTCTGCCCTCCGCTCGCCAGGGGGCGTGGCAGGTCTACCTCCGATTGTTGCGGCTGTTTGCCACGTTAGCATATCTGTTTTTCATGTTCGCAGCACTAATCGGGCAACGTCCGTCTGTCCAGGGGACTCGGGGGCATGGGGATCCCCGATTTCTGGGGAGTGTCAGGCTGCCGGGATGGGTTCATTTCAGACAGTTGCCGAGTGCATTCACACGATTCCGGGACGGAGCTTTGCGATTTATCGCAGTTGGGGGAACCGGGCTTCCTTAAGCCATTGAATACCGAATTTAAAGTGGATTTTGCGGAATAATTGGACATCATAAAATAAACTTACAAGTCGCAGATACGAGTGATAGGGATAACTGGGCGTATGAGCAACTTTTTTGAATAGCCCTTGAAAGGTATTTAATTTATGAAAATAGTATGTTTCCAAGTATTGCCACAAGATCTATTCCTTGTACATCGAAGAAGGATTATGAATATTGCCTTGTTTCAAAATTATATCAGAGATCTTGGAATTTAATCGATTTAAGTCTACGTATAAAGATAATCTCTTACATTTACAAAGAACATGCAATTAAACACTTTGAAGCTTAGGCAAATTTATAAAAATAATTTCAATATGTTTTATGGGCTGTTTTATACGCTTTGCTTTAATGATTTCTATTCATCTTTATTATGGCGAACAAGTGTAAATGAAATGTAATCAATTGGTAAATAGTTGATAGATTATGTGGGTATTTTAGAAATTATGTGTTTTTAGCGTTGGGGTCTGGGTCTTGGTGTCTTGTTGTCAGGAGTTTTGCTTGCCAGTTGATTGGGCATGCAATCCAATGGCTCTGAAGGAGGTCCTGGTGGCGGGTCAGCGTTTTCCGGTGGGGGATAATTTGGCGGCAATGGACCGGAGCCACCTGAAGTCCGAGCACCCTATTTAAGATTAATAAAGATCAATTAGGGTATCGATTTTATAAATTAATAACAACTGTATGTACTTACGTATGGCCTTCTATAGACTTGTTGCTGCGGGTATCGGTATAGCTGTGCGTTCGCAATTCCCAGGAGAACGCAGCTGAAGAGCAGAATTGCAAGTGCGAATTTAGGCGACATCTTTAGTTCGACGAGAGAGTCTGGAAGACAAAGTAACTTTGTCTGCGATTCATTCCCCTTTTATACCATTCCGATAATGAACCCTCGAGTCTTATCAGTTGCACATAAGAAGAAAATTAATAAATGCAGATTGCATTTCTTGAGAAATAAGTATATAAGACTTGCTCACATAGAATCCTTTATCTCAGTTCAGGGTTTACTTATGTGGATGGCATATTGCCAATTAATCAAGATGAAGTGAAAACACATGCGAATTTTTAATTGGGTTGATTGTAATTTTCCACATGTTATCATTATTCTTCGGAATTATAAATCTTTACTCTTTGGATTGTGTTAACTGGAAATGTTTACTTATAATGCTTAGATAGGTATATATACCCTTTATTTAATTAATGCTAAGAGTTTTTCGCCAAGTCCTGGTTTAATATATTATTGCCGTCACAAAACCTGCTGGAGTAATGTCTTACATAACATTTTTGCATCACTTTTCAGTGTGCCGCCTTCCATATTTATAGACATCCTCTTTGTAAATCTGCGTTTCCCTAATGTTTTCCGTGACGTCAGCCATTTACTATTTTTAGTTTTCAACATTTGAACTTTTTGGGTACTTTGTTTATTTTTGTTTCAGTTCAGGCAGGCCGACCATGGTCCTTCCCTTCCCTTTGGTCCATGGAGGTTGTTTTGGCAAGCGGCCAAAGGACTTTCAAAAAGCGGCTTCCATATAGAGCCATATACATTTGTAGACCCGGTTTATTCTACTGGCGCAGCTAGTGGAGTCGAGTTGAGTCGCAACCTTTTTGATTAGATTACGCAACGTAAAACTGGTTTGCAAATTGAATAAATGACTTTTGCGTTGCCAATATAAAACGTGTTTGAAATTTTTGATTAGGTAAACACAGACATACTCACACACACACACACACACACACAGAAAACGCGATTTTAGACCTTTCAAGCGTAGCAATGAAAAAAAAAATGTAAAATGAAATAGAATAGAATACAACAAACAACAGCGGCGGCGACAAAATGAACCGAAATGGCAAAGGCCCAGGACATGGAGGACGAAAATGTCCTGGGCCCTGGCCAAACTCCATTTTTCCCCGTCACTTTAGAGAAGGGACTCTGCGAACCGAATGTAATTTGTCAATTTTGTTGGGTGGCAGCGCGGGCAGCTTGTGGTTTTGGGACTAGGAAGGGCCCAATTAAAATTCATTAAACGTAAATTAACATTGAAGTCGGGCATTATAAATTAACTAGAGGCCGCAATAGACGACCTCAGAAACCTGGCCGAAAGAGAGAGCCAATTGAATAGGGATTTCAGGAGCTACCGCATGGATGTAGGACTCCCCAGCTCAAATTATATAATTGGGGAAAAGTAAGTACAAAGTAATCTTTAAAGCACGTGAGAGTAAGACATTAAAATTTCCATAAAAATGTTGTATATACATATTAATTTACGACAGTATGCTGATTTAATTGTTTATCTTGTTATTTTTATACTCTTGCAGACCCCATAAGGTATATTATGCATTTTAAGCAAACTAGTCCATCAGTTTTGAAGATTTTGGATGAAACCTTTCAAAAGTGTTCTTTATTTATTATTGTTTAAATTAATTTGGTTTTTAAAATCTGAATTACTTTAATAGTTTCACACGTTTTTACTGATAAAGTATATATTAATGGTTAAACGTAACTACTTTGGCAGTCGAAAAAAATCGCCATTGATAATATCTACTTTTGCAAACGTGTTTGACTTTGCTTAAGAAATCCACGATGCCAAGTTTTTTTTTGAGGCGCGTAAATCGTGGCAGTACAATTCCAATTCAGGCTTAATGAGCTGTGTAATATTTGCATTTTGTTCACACCCCAGAGCAGTAATTTCGGTGACTTCGCCAAAAGCTAGGCAAAAGCTTTATTTTTCTTGGCAAAGTGCCGTCCGGCAAATGTGCTGCAATTGCTTTGGCGTTTTTGTTAACCTTCTTTTTTCTGCCCGTTTTTGGCAATCAGGGAAATAGAAGACATGGAAAGGACGAATAGGGCGACATAAATCCATTACAGATTGTGAATGCGAAATAAATCAGAAGCCATAATTCAATATTAAATCACTCATACGCCAGGTTAAACCAATTGCAAATGGTGAATGCATCTCGGAGCACAACAAGCAGGACAATTAGTGTGTCACTCACTGCGGCGAAGAAAGAAGGGAAATGAGAAATGGTTTGGCTTGCGTCTCCGCTTTTAGCCAAATGAAAACCTCAAATGTGGATACCTTGCTGGAAACTCTTCTCGGGCAAAATCAACAAAATATTTCAAAATAACAAATGTGTCCATTGGGTTTGCTATAGTAGTTGGGTAGCTGTAGGACAGCAGCTCCAATGACAAAGTGCTTGCAAACGCACAATATTTGTCTAGGTCATGCATATCGCAATCCGGTCTTGTTCCGAAAGGTGAGCGCCCAGGTGAGAAGTGGGCGGCCGGGCCTTCGCAGCAATTCCAATCCAGTTTGCCAGTTAAATGCAAACATAAACACAAAGGCAAATACACAAAACACAAGACATATTAATCAGTGCAGGACAGGGACGGAGATTGAGTCAGAGGCAGCGGGATGTGGCCAGATATATAAGCGATTCCCTGCATTGGCTTTGGTTGGCCAAACAAATAAATTGCAATTTGTGTAATCTTAACACCTAGGGCCAAAATCAATGGAGAACAATGTCCTCCAAGCACTCCACCACATCATTTCACACAAACTTGTTCGTGTATAAATTTGCACTTGGAAAAAACTCATCGAAGAACAATACTTGTTTGAGATAGTTTTAATACATTCGGAATTATTAAGGATTTGCGTTACTCGTAAAAGCTAAAAAAATAAAAAAGAAAACCAATTTAAATATAAATAATTAAATTTAAAATAACTTTCTTACCTCTTAGCCTATATCTATAAATATAACTTCAAAGCCTTAAAAGTTATTTAAAAATAAGTATACCTTACTAACTTTAAGTTTAAACATTTACATATTCCTTTAAATATAATCTTTATTTAATAGCATTTTCTAAACCTGATTTAGACTACTTATTCGCTGTGTGACAAATATGTGTGTAACTATATATGGATCAGGTGTGTGGCAAAATATTTACAATTAAGGACAAAGGCAGCAAATGCATTGAAACCTACATTGGTCCATGTGATGTCGAAGAATGTCATCTACCGCTGTTCTTGGGTATTGAGTTTCGTCATATTTGGTGTTCGTGTTTGTGTGTTCGTTTGCCCTAGTCTAAGTGTGAAAGGATTAAATAGGATTGTGGAAAATTTGGTCAAAGTCAAAATGTATGTTTGACTTCAATTACAGCGTGATTTCTGAATTTAACAAAATGTTTTTAATTCGACTAAGAAGGTTGTGGAATATAATTGCGTATTTTCACATCTTCAGCCGAATAGATTGATGAATAAAAAAACCGTGCTTATATTAAAAAACATGTGTAAATGGTATGGCTTTTTTGATGCCATGAAAATTGAGCCATTTAAAACTTAACATTCTAAGTTAACCGTTAAGTGAAGTAACATAATACTTCTGCTTATTTTCCACATATATATATATTTTATATATATATTTTCAATACCACCAAAAAGTAATTCATAATTTGCATTCAATATATTTCAAATCAATTATTATGATTTAAAGAAGAGTTAAAGGTTATGTGGGTATTTTAGAAACGATTTGTTTCATCGTTGTGGTCTGGGTCTTGGTGTCTTGTTGTCCGGAGTTTTGCTTGCCAGTTGATTGGGCATGCAATCCAATGGATCTGAAGGAGGTCCTGGCGGCGGGGCAGCGTTTTCCGGTGGGGGATAATTTGGCGGCAATGGACCGGAGCCACTCGAAGTCCGAGCACCCTATTTTAGATTAATAAAGATCAATTAGGGTATGGATTTTAATAAATCAATAGCAATTGATTGTACTTACGTATGGCCTTCTATAGACTTGTTGCTGCGGGTATCGGTATAGCTGGGCATTCGCAATTCCCAGGAGAACGCAGCTGAAGAGCAGAATTGCAAGTGCGATTTTAGGCGACATCTTTAGTACGACGAGAGTTTGGAATACACTGTGACTTTGTCTGCAATTCTTTCCCTTTTTATACCAATCTGATAATGAGCCCTCGAGTGTCTAACCAGTTGCACATAAAAAATATAAGGACAACGCCAAACTTTGAATTTAAAACACCATTAAATGCGGTGCTGTGACTTTATTAATTGAAAATTGGCTTAAGACTAAATGCTTGTGATAAAAATCATACTTGTGTTGCCCTTTGTTTACATAAATTTGTGAGCAAGATTCAATAATTCAATAATTTGAGAGTGAGAGTGCCACTTATTGAAGAGCGGCATCGCCAGCTCCGGATGTGGATTTTTTACATCTTGTTTCTTGGTATGAATATGTGAATATGTCACTTTATGTATTTTCAGTACTGGGGCGATGCCCACTTTATTATCGCCATATAAAGTTTCAAGCAGATAGCTTGAAATCTGAGGGACTAGTTAACGTAGAAACGAACGGACGGACGAACTTGGCTAGATCGACTCTCCAGGTGATGCTGATCAAGAATATATATAACTTATAGGGTTGGAAATGTCTCCTTCACTGCGTTGAAAACTTTTAACTGAAATTATAATACCCTCTGCAAGGATATAAAAACTAAGAAGAAAGATATCGAGAAATACGGGTGCACAGTTCAAAATGATTAGTAATGAAACAAATTATTAATGTCATTGTAATATAACCCCGTTTCTTAAATGTATGCCGCTGCAGAATAGAATGCTTGTAATGCTTGCTTTTTATTATTATTCAATCACAGAAAAGTCGTAATTTTTTTTAAATACTTCAGAAAATTCGTCACCGGTGTGGCCAGTGCTGGTCCTTGGTGGGGGACTACTGTTCCTTTCAGTACTTTGCTGTTCATCTGCATTCCAGGTACAATCGGGTATAACAGGAGGTCTCTTTGGGTTGGGAACACTAGGTTCATATCTCGGCTCCTGCCATGCGGTTGGTTGTACCGGGAAACTAGGGTTGTTAAAAAAATCTATGGTACTATCGATAGTATCGATGGTCGAAAAATTTAGCAAACATCGATGGTTTTGGGCCACCATCGATACTATCGTTTCAGAAAAAGAATATTTTTTTTTGTGGTATATTTGAACAAAAAAATTAGTATATTGTGGTATATTTCTGGAAGCTTGCTAGAATTTTCCACTTTAAGGTCACACTGCCAAATCCACGAAATTAAAGAAGGATCAATGTAAGCGAGTATATTATAAACTTTTGACTATATTTATATTATATTATTAGTTCAGATTTGTTGGCAGTGGTTCGAAGACATGGACAAGTTCTTAAAGCGCAAGAATGGTAAGTTATTTTTAAAATAATGAGAAGTAGCTTTTAACTTGGTTGTTTAAAGGCATTTAAGAACTACTTATTAAGTGGGCACGTGTATTCAAAATACACCAATTATGAAAATTAAATAAGTAAGATTATTTTACAAACAGATTTAGATGACGGCCAGGAAGTTCAGCAAGAACCCGAGACATCTAAACCAAAAAAAAAGAAGGGTATGTCAACGGTGTGGACTCATTTCTCCAGAGTCGACAAATATTCTGCTAAGTGCAACAAATGCGGGAAAATTTATGTGACAAGCGGAAATACATCAAATCTATTTGACCACCTTAAACGCATACACAAGAACGATGATCTTGACCTTAAACCCGCAGAAAAAATAACCACGTTTTTAGCTGGTCCATTAGCATACGATAAAACGTCCAAACGGAAGCAAGAAATTGATAAGGCATTGGCCCGAATGGTTGCTCTAGACGTGCAACCATTTTATATTGTGGAAAATCGGGGTTTTTGCGACCTTTTAAACGTAATTGACCCAAAATATCGCGTACCGTCCAGAAGCAAATTAACCAATGTTTTAGTCGCTGATTTATACGAAGAGAAGGTGGCAAAATTGAAAAGCATATTGAAGAGAACGGATTCAGTTTCGATCACAACAGACGGATGGTCTTCAGCCGCCAATGACTACTATGTAACCATAACATGTCATTTTTTGACGGATTCTTTCGAGCTAAAATCGGCAGTTTTATCGACTTCCAAATTGGAAAATGCATTTAACCATAACGCAATAAATATTGCCGAGACTGTTCAAAATATTTTAGACGAATGGAATCTCTTTAATAAGGTTTCCGCCATTGTTACAGATAACGCAGCCAATGTTGTACTCGCATGCAAATTTTTAAACAAAACGCATTTCCCATGCTTTGCACATTCGCTCAACTTGGTTGTTCAGGATGCTTTAACAGTAGAAGAAATTAAAGAGCCTTTCCAAAAGTGCAAAAGAATTGTACAGTTCTTCAAAAGCAGCACAATTGCTTTTGCAAAGCTTAGGGAATCGCAGAGCCCAGAAAAGGCCCTTAATCTTATTCAGGAGGTGCCAACAAGATGGAATAGCAGCTTTCATATGATACGACGAATGTTGCTGCTGAAAGAGCACGTTGCTAAAGTCTTGCTAGGCACTCCAAAGAGTCCAAAAATGTTAACCGCTGATGATTTTCTGATTTTGGAAGATGTTTCCCAACTGCTCACCAATTTTGATAGAGCTACTGCAAGAGTTTCAGCTACAAGCGTGACAATGTCTTTAATAATACCCATAATATGCGGCTTGCATACAGAATTACTCGAGCCCAAGAGTCCACTAAAAACATTGGAGGGTAAAATTGTATGCAATTTTCTTTTAGAAAAAATTGAATCTAGGCTGTCAAAGTATGAAACCCTTACTGCCACCAGAATATCTACCATATTGGACCCGAAGTTTAAAGTAGATGGGTTCCGCTCAAGCAGTAATGCTCAAACTGCTGTGAGTTTGATCGAAACAGAGCTTGCGGCCCTAGAAAATGTAGGTTCCAAACCACTGCCAGCACCACCAATTCTTCCCGAAGAAGATAGCTCTCCCACTGATCCGCTTTTTAGGTTTTTGAAATCTAAAAATGCCGCCAGAGCTCTGAACGAAAAGGTGGATTCAACCAAATCTTTAAATCATTACCTTAGTCAGAGCCATAAAGTGCAAGATCCTCTTGAGTTTTGGAAGGTACGTTTTGTGCTTTTTAAATACCTTCGTAAACTAATCTTTAAATTTTACAGAACTGCGCAGAAGACACTATTGGTCTGCAGACATTGGCGAAGCGATACTTGACTATTCCAGCTACGTCTACAGAGTCTGAACGTATGTTCAGCAAAGCAGCGGAAGTAATTTCCACAAAAAGAACTTTGCTAAAGCCGGAAAATGTAAACCGGCTATTGTTTTTGAACAAAAACGTGGACCTGTAGCAATTTTAATTAACATGAATTTAATATGAATTTCTCATTTTTTAATTAGTTATGTATTAACCAAAAATACCTTTTTTTAAGAAAAGTGTATCTCTTATAATTTTCCTTTTTGTTTTATTATGAATTTCTTATTTTTTAAATATAATTACAAACTTGTATCGTAAATATATATTTTTTTAAGTTGTTATTAATATGAAGTCTTTATTTATTCGTTTGTTATGTATAATCGTAAATGCGTCCAGTGAAATAAAATACGATTCTGAATTTGTTACTATTAATATTTAGTTTTATTTGTTTTTAGCTTTCAAAATGTTTAAACAACCACTATCGATGTTTAAACAACCCTACGAGAAACTCAAAAAAGATCTACCTTGATGTGCGGGTAAATTAAAAGGTGGTGGTGTGTTTTCAGGTTCACTTTCTGGTTCGGGTTCGTAACCGTCTAAATTTTTGTTAGTCTCATCGATAATCCATTTTCGAACTTTTCCAACATTGGTATAAGCCGCCGGGACGTCCTGCATTCCGCACTGAACGCCAAAGTTTACAATGCCGGCCAGCTCATACCTTTGGGGATCTTCTCGCAGGGGACAAGCCAGCGGAGACCCAGCATCGCCCATGCAAGAATCCTTTCCACGCTCCCCACCAGCGCACAAGAGGCTGTTGTCGAGCTGGAATTCGTTTCCGTAGAAGCGACGAAGTTGATACTCGCACTCATTGTTCTGGACTATTGGTAACTCCACCTTCTTCAAAACATCCATGTATGTTAAGTCGGCAAAGGACTTCTTACCCCAGCCACTGAAGATGCAGCGCGAGTAATCGAAGTTCCTATTATCCGGCGGCAGGCAGATTGGCTTAATGTGTTGGGTAAATTTTAGCGGAGTCCGAAGGAACAAGAGAGCCACGTTATTGGCCCCGTTGTTTTTGGCGAAGCCAGGATGACGAACGATCGACCGGATTCTAGCTTCAACATGTGGCAATTGCTCGGAGTTGGTTTTTAAGTCCCATTCGCCAGCCCGGACAATAAGCTGGTCTTCGGTTAGGTTGTCGGTTACGGATTTGGCTGTGATGACCACCTTGGGAGAGATAATGGCGCCACCACCCAAGTAAATACCTCTTGTATCGAGCAAGGCCACCATCCATGGAAACTCGAACTCCTGGGCAAAGCCATCCAAGTTCCGGTCTGTGAAGGATAGGCCTCTGATGTTGGGTCGTCCGCAATCGTAATCTGGCTCGACATTCTGAAAAGGCAGGCGATAGTTAGTATTATCTTTCACACTACCGCAACAACGTCACTTACAAGTATATTTATAGTTTCACAGCAGGTTTCAAGGGCAGGGCATCCATTATTTCCATCAGTCGTATCTCGGAATTGTATTTGTGCCCGGCATTTATGACGCGCAACGCACCTTCTCTCCCTTGAGGGCCCACAATCCTGGCCCAGGACCTGATAGATGGCCAGGAGAAGGAATAGGATTGGAAGAATTCCGTGCAGACGACGCATTCTTGTTTGCGCTGAAAAAGAAACTGCGGCCTCTCGAGACAGATAGCCGCTATTTAAAGCTTGGTTCTTGTGAACTTATAACCCGAGAAGAGACTTCGCATCGCAACTGATTTCAAAAAAAAACCCAGTGACTCTCTAGATTATAAAATGCGTTATACACATACATATATGATTTTAATGGGGCTTCAAAAAGTGAGCGTGCCAAATATATTGGTTGTTTTCGAGACCCCGATTTTTCCATACAAATGAAAGGCGATCTCAATAAAACAAAATCATTGCTCTAGTTAAAATATAAATGGTGATTTATTGACATCTAACTAATATCTAGTATAAAATACTATCGATTTATTTAAGATTTTTTCTCAATGCCATTCAAAATTAATGTGAAAGAATTTTTTGCAGCAAATCTTCGCCATAGTTAAAATAGTATTATTGATTTATACAAACCTTAAAACGGAAATAGCTAAGACGAACTGTGAACTCAAATTTCCGAGAACCGTAAAATCAAAACGTTGTTTTCTTAAATTAACAGGGGATTTTTTCAATGGGATATCATTTTTGACTTATTAAAATGTGACAATTATCTTAGCATATGGTTTTTTGTTTAATTAAAAGTAGCAATCAAAATATATGTAAAAGGAATGTTGATGTTTAACGAAGTCGTTGTTCTAGTTAAATTATCAATGTTGATTTATTGACATCTGACTAAGATCGCGTTTTTGGTTTCAAGTATAGGGGATTTTTTCATGCCTTCCAAATACATGTTAGTTAAAATAAAATTCAACAATTAACAAATGATTAAAATTGTAATTTAAAGAGCCTATAAGTTGTAATTCAATGCCATACTTAGCTATCGCCTAGCTTGTTGTTTCTATCCTCCTTTATTCGTCTTCGATGTCATGCCATTTGCTGGAAAGTTCTTCCCTGAGCAAACTCCTCAAATGGCAAGTTGTGTTATATGCCTTACTTTATTAACTTCTCGCATCCATTAAATTTAATTATAAAATTGTTTACAGCTTTCTGCGAATTATCAATTATATATTATAATCAGCGAATGGAAATTTGTGGGAAATTTGGTCAAAGTCAAAATTTATGTTTGATTTTAACTACAGCGTGATTTCTGCATTAATTCCACTATGGACGTTGTGGAATATATTTGCTTATTTTTATATTTTTAGCAAAATAGATTAATGAATAAAAAACCGTACTCATTTTAAACAAGAAAGGAAAGCTAACTTCGGGGGAAGCCGAAGTTGATATACCCTTGCAGAATATTCTGTAAGTTATGGCATTTCCAATCGTTCAGTTATATAGCAGCTATAGGATATAGTCGGCCGATCCTTTTGAAATTCGGTAGGTTTGATAGATTGGCCAAAAATAATACCCATAAAAAATCGCAACTTCCTAAGCTTAGGATATAGTCGGCCGATCCCGGCCCGACTTATATACTGCGTGCAAAGGAACGAGGGGTGTGTGCAAAGTTTCAATTCGATTTCTTAAAAACTGAGAGACTAGTTCGCGTAGAAACAGACAGACGGACATGCTTATGTTAACTCAGGACGCGATCCTGATCAAGAATATATGTACTTTATACGGATGTCTCCTTCACTGCGTTGCACACTTGTGACCAAAATTATAATACCCTTTGCAAGGGTATAAAAATGCAAAATAAGCTTATCAGCAATAAAGCAGAGTCTTTAAAAACTCAGCCGAAGAACAAAGTATTAGTATACAATCAAGTTTCAACCTCAGCTGTCTAACAGAATGTTCAGGTCTGCGACCTTTTTTTTGTGCGTATTTCTTGCACTGGATCTCCATGGATCCTTGACAGGAGCACAGGATGGGAGGCGCTACGGGTGTCTATTAACATACCCTTCAAATCAGGGTAGGGCATTCTGCGTTTCTGCACTGCAACCAGTGATCGATCACATTACCAAGGAAAAACAGGAGTCAAATATCTGCGAAGTGAAATTTAATGAAACCTTAGTGCAATTAGATCAGATAAAACGCCAGTTGAGTGCGACACAGACTCAATTGGAAAATCAACAGACATCCTTTGAGGAAAATTTGAAGAATCTTATTCCGCAGGACCTCGATGAGAGGTTGAACAGGATAGAAAGCAAACAGACAGCCCTATCAAATCAACTAACGGCTGCAGAAGAAAAAACGGACAACCAATTAACAACTATGCAGAAAGCACTATCCAAAATGGACAGAAATATCGTGCTACAGAATTTTGAACGGATAGGCACGAGGCTCTTCTACATTGAACACAAATTAAAAGTGAATTGGAGGACTGCCGAAAAAATCTGTATGGAGATTGGCGGCCATCTAGCAGCTTTCGAAAATAATCAGGAGTATAACGCTATTACTGCCAAACTCTCTAAATCAAACTACTGGTTGGGCATCAACGATCTAGATAGACAGGGCACATTTATATCCTTGGCCTCCGGAAAACGAGCTCCATATTTGTGGTGGCGTTCAGATGAACCCAAGTACAACGATAGCACTCAACACTGCGCTTACATATATGACGGCCGAATGATAGTTTTATCTTGTGTAAATGATGTTATGCATTTCATTTGTCAAGCAGATGACGAAGTTTAGCTAAGCAAAAGAAAGCTTTAAGTGCTAGAAAACTGTGTTTGATTAAAAATATTTTGAATTATATGCGTACCTGTTAACAAAAATGCTTTTGAGATGTACCATATAATTGAAAATCTAAGAAATAAATAATAAAAAAACAAATAAATTTACTTGTGAGTTTATACCCGTTTGAGCAAATAAATTAAAAAAAATTTTACACGAGTTATTTTGTACTATCCGTTAGAATTTCCAAAACAATCCCGATCAACCATTACGTTTAAAATAGATTTAAAAAGTATATTTAAAAGTTAGTTTCCAGAATATTTTCCCCGCCGGCACGGTACTTCGGTTGGTCTCATCTTCAATGGAGATGCCATCACCAGTGTCACCTCCCATTGCTACCTAGGAGTACATTTGGACAGAGCGCTAGTATGGCGGGCCCACATCTCGGCAATCAAAGCCAAATGCTTGCAGAAGCTACAAAAGCTTGACTGTCTGCTGCGCTCGAAAAAATTGCACTTTTCAAATAAGGCCCTGCTAATTAAAGCCATCATCACGCCAACTTGGACGTACGCCATTCAAGCATGGGGCACTGCCTCTAAGCATCAGCTTGAGAGGCTTAGAGTCGTGCAATCACTCCCCTGCACTATGGGGTTTTTGACCACTTTATGTGGCATTTAGTCATTTTTTAAAAGTGCTCCAATTAAAAAAAAAAAAATGGGAATGCATTAACAGAACATCAAACTGTTATGCCTCATACTCAAAATGTTAATACTTAACAGCATATGTTAGCATAACAGCTGTAAAGTCAGCTGTTGCCTCCGAAAGCACCAGCGCTAAGTTTGCAATTTTTTTAAAGCGTTCTTTGAAATTAATTTACTCGTGTAAAACACCATTTTAAAATAAAAAAACAAATGGAAACTGATCTCACAGGCTTGTACTATATGTTAAATGTATTAATTGTTTAAATTATGCGTGTTTATACTAATATTTTGTCATTTTATAAATGCACCTTAAGCTGAATTTTGAGGAACAAATTTCAACTTTGGGAAGAGTTTTGAAATAGAAGTTTGCATTAGTTTTCAATGCGCCCAAGTGTATGTTGTAGCCTGGTCAATTCTGAGCAAAAATCTGTTAGTCTTATTGTGCACTTTTCCGCACTATTGGTGCAATTTGAATTTTTCTTAGATAACCTCACTTTCTCCAACGCCGACTTGGTTGCTGTTTACAATAGCGAGAAGGGCCGGCTTGAGCAAGAAAAGGCTATACAATGTTTGATGAACAAATTATTTATAATATGAGGATCATTTTGATATGTTTGTCCTGTCAGTTGCCCATCAACTTGGACAAATTCGAATCATTTTGCCTACAAACTGTCGAATTGTTAGTCGATATGTATGCATGGCTGCCGTTGAGTTTTGAGTTTGATGAAATTTTTTCTTTTTGCTTTTGTTGCACTTATTATCATCAACTTTTATAGGGCTGGAGCAACAAATTTCAGCTACTTAAATTTCATTAATTTTTTTTTAGTTTTAACCGATTGTTCCTATGGGAGCTATAGGATATTGTTTCCTGATCCAAACGATTTTCACACTATATGTGCCTAGGGACAAATTATGACGATTGGTAAAGTTTCATGTCGATATCTCCAAAACTGACCGAGTTATTAATTAATGCCACAAAAACAGGTCAAAAACCCCATAGTGCCCTGGTACGTTACAAACAGTGCCATCGAGAGGGACTTTCGACTACTACCTATAGGGGACCAAATTAATATACACAGCAGTCGTTACGCTGACAGGATTGTGGCACATCCAAACCCCCTAGCGAGTGACCTAGCTGAGCCAATTTCTCTCCGACGGCTGAAGAAGCTACATCCCACCGATCTCCTTACTCGTAAGATCGTATAAAATTCTCACTTATTTTGTTACTTCCAAACTCGTTATAATTGTTACTTAGTATTTAAGGCTACTATGTATGCATAAAATTTCTTTCTCGTTAATTACGCTAGGTTAAGTTCAGAAGGCACTGAACAGATTCCAGTGAATAAAAATAATATTTTTGAAATTAAAAAAAAAAGAATATTTGCTCTACGGAACCGCCGAAAAGTAGGCAATAGCTTGTTCGAATCGCATTAAGCAAACATTTAAAAAATGAGCAACGCCTACCTTTTAAGATACGGCTTGCCGAAGTTTACTTCAGTATATGTGATCAAGAATTTACATACTTTATAGGGTCGGAAATGTCTTGTTTAGTGCGTTGCAAACTGTTGACTGAAATTATAATACCCTCTGCAAGGGCATAAAAACTTATGTTACAAGGTAAATGGTATGGCTTTTTTGATGCCATCAAAATTGAGGCAATTATTAAAAAATTGACTAATTGCCATTTACAAGTCAACATTCTAAACACCGTTAAGTGAAGTAATATAATACTTCTGTTTATTTTCGACTTACATATATTTATATATCACCAAAAAGTAATTGCTAATTTATGTTCAATACATTTCAAATCAATTTTTATGATTTAAATTAGAGTTAATGGTTATATGGGTAATTTAGAAACGATTTGTTTTTAGCGTTGTGGTCTGGGTCTTGGTGTCTTGTTGTCCGGAGTTTTACTGGCCAGTTGATTGGGAATGCAATCCAATGGCTCTGAAGGAGGTCCTGGCGGCGTGGCAGCGTTTTCCGGTGAGGGATAATTTGGCGGCAATGGACCGGAGCCACCTGAAGTCCGAGCACCCTATTTTAGATTAATAAAGATCGATTAGGGTATAGATTTTATAAATTTTATAAATATATACTTTATAGGGTCGGAGATGTCTCCTTCACTGCATTGCACACTTTTGACCAAAATTATAATACCCTCTGCAAGGGTATAAAAACCGTGCTTATATTCAAGCACATGTGTTACAAGGTAAATTGTATGGCTTTTTTGATGCCATCAAAATTGAGGCATTTAAAACATAACATTCTAAGTTAACCTTTAAGTGAAGTAACATAATACTTCTGCTTATTTTCCACATATACTCTATGAGCTCAAAATTTGTATATATTTTCAATACCACCAAAAAGTAATTCATAATTTGCATTCAATATATTTCAAATCAATTATTATGATTTAAAGAAGAGTTAAAGGTTATGTGGGTATTTTAGAAACGATTTGTTTCATCGTTGTGGTCTGGGTCTTGGTGTCTTGTTGTCCGGAGTTTTGCTGGCCAGTTGATTGGGCATGCAATCCAATGGATCTGAAGGAGGACCTGGCGGCGGGGCAGCGTTTTCCGGTGGGGGATAATTATTCTGATAATGAACCCTCGAGTCTTATCAGTTGCACATAAGAAGAAAATGAATAAATGCACACTGCATTTCTTGAGAAAAAAAAGAGTTCTGCTTACTTGGAACCCCTTATCTCTATTTAGGGTCTATTTATGTGGAAGACGCATTTCCAATTAATCAAGATGAAAAACAAGAAAAATCGTCTTAATATATAATTTATTCAGAAAAAGATTATAAAATAATGATGTGTAATTGATTCGAGGAAATGTAAGTGCTGGGGAAATAAAGTATTTTAAATCAAATAAGTATTGTTTACTTAATTTAATTTACACGTTTCAAATTTGTAAAATTGCATTGCCTTTGTTGAAGTTTCGATCTCCTTAAATAGTACTCCGCAGTAATGAACTTAAGTCTTTGACTTCCTCCCGTAGAAGCCCAGCACTCCAAGATGGCCCTGAAACCCAAACCCCGATGGTCTAACCGGAGTACTTAAGTGCCTAAGCGCTCCATGATGGATATGGATGCAAGTGAGGCTGTGCTCAGGCTTAGCCCTAAAAGCGCATTTTAAGTAATTCCAGAGCCTCGGCTATGGTCTCTTAACCCACTGCTCACCCTTTCACCAGCCCTTTTTGCTGCGGCTTAAAAGCTTTAAAAGAATTTATTGCGAACACTTGAAGTATTTTTTTCAGCCGTTCGCCGCTGCTTCTGCTCTATATACATATATGCATAGGTATATGGTGGAAATTATTCGCCTGGGTGTAAAGTGAAAGCAGCTAGAAAAACAACAGCATCTGCAGGGAGCAACAGTCGCTTGGAGGAAAGGAAAATGCTTGCCGATGCGTAGGTTATTTACAATGGGTTCTTGTAGGGGGAAACCTGCTACAGCCAAGGCTTTCAATATTTTCACACTTTGGTTTTTAGTTGTAATGTTTTCTCTATATATAATACAGTTGCACTTAATGGCTCCGGTCGTGTGCCTCGAAAGTAAATGGTCCTCGAGCTGGTTGCCTGGCACAAGAAAAATGGAGTATCCGCATCGAAGGAGCGAAGGGACTGTGAGAAATAGGACCTTGACTATCTGCAGTTGTGGCTCAAACCGAAATAAATGACCTTTGTTGGTTATTTCTCCAATAATAAAAGGCGACGAGGGTAAACACACATTTGCTGACAATATTGCTTTAAAAGCAATTGCTTAAATTTTACATTACGGAAGCCAATATTTTCAACAATAGCAAAACAACTAGTAAATAAATGATTAGCTAAATGACTTACGCGCCGATATGACCATGTATAATTAACAGGTATTCAACCTCAACATTTTCACACGTAATCGATTTTATCGGCCTTAATTTAAAACCCACAACATTTGTTTGCTTTATTTTTTTCGCTATACCACCATGACACTCTACGAATTAATTATAATTTTTTTACGCAGCTTTAGTTCATACAAGGCATTGTCATTTTACAAAGTAATTGAAAAAATTCCATACAAATCAGTGCTGAATTTTTTGCCAAGCCATAAATAAGTAATTAGAGTTTTTTATTTAAAAGACGAAATAGAAATTTGAATAGTTTGCATACATTGCTATGGTTTAATTAATTTTTACGTTTTTGCTTAGGGGATTATTGGAATTAATATGAAATTAGTTTGCGACAGGTGCAAAAAGCATTTAGATTGTTGTAAAATTGAAAATAGCTATAAGTAAGAGCTATAAAAATAAAAATAAACACATTGTATATTTATAC